ATCATATTCCTAATCATAACTACGATGCCGTTGGCAGCTGTCATACTGAAGGGGCGCTCCCAATTCGGTAATATTATCATATCAAATGTGTATCTCAATAGTTCGTAAAAGTTAGCAAAAACTGACGAGATTTTCTTTAGCAGTACCTCAAACAAAACATCGCTAATCGCCATTTGGACTAAGTGTGGTACCTTAATGTGTTTGCTGTATATAAAAACAATAATAATGATAGATTTATATCAAATGAGTGTTCGTAGGTACCCTCATTTTACGACATCTTCAGATATCCAAATTTCATGATCATGATCATGTTTAACTAATGAGATATGCCCACTACAGCGTGGACATTCATAATTTTCCAGAATCAAAGTTTATTACTGTCGGTTGCAAGCGATTGTATTCTTAATATCTGACATTCTTCATCATATGCATAACCCATGCAGAATATTCCTACATCTGGCGCATGGTTAGAACAATTGTGTCTATAAACTGCATCTCGCCCTCTTTCCTCCATTCGTAATGGTTTGAAGACAAGTGAGTTTCGATACATTGTGGATATCTATTATGTATGGGCTAGAATCTTTTCAAGGGCAAAATGAGGATAGAATAAATAGATGGATTAAGAAGTGCAATATTAGGACTTACCCATCATTGCTGGTAGAGCTAGACTTCCTCCTAGGAGATGGATTAGGTGCGGGATGATGTTGAGGGGAATCAGTAAACCTCAAAGGCTTCATCTCGTCCGTCTGCATGAGGTTCATGAACTGCGACCCTGCTAACATTGGTCTGTGATGCTTCGTTGGACCGTGGTAAGTGTTGTGATTGTATCCTGAAGATGTCGAGTATTCATAGCTTTGGTCCTCGACTGGACGCCAAGCTGGCAGCTCACTCACCTCAGCTCTGAAGATTAGCGGTGACCAAGTTATATATCGTTTTCAATTCAATGTATAAATATATAAATAACCAGAAAAAATAATTTCTTCAATTTGTCTTTTCTGACAACATAGTGACTATAATTAAAGCAAGCTGTGGCAACAATGTCAACGTTTTACCTTTGTTTTTGTTTAACTTTGTTAAAATGTTATTTCTTAGTTTCTGAGAGTAGTACAGATATTTTTAGTTATTGTCATTTCATTTAAGTGTTAAGCATAACGAAATACCCCGAGTTCGAAGACGTCCACCATGTTAGCGACTTTGACAGAACAATTAAAAACAAATAATATAAATAAATAAAATAAATGAAAATACCCCATAAATTGTTGTTGTAGTTTGGTAATAGATGTTTGATAAATTTTATATTTAGGAATATAGGAAACATCAAAATGTTCGTTTATTCATATTATTTTTGGGGGTCGAAAATGGCATATTTTGCACTGTTTCAAATTTACATTTCTCGTATCTGGAAAATTATGAACTTCAGAGAAATGTTCATAAGAACCTTTTTTGTTCAGAATAACCCAAAAAAAAACTCCGTAGCGAAAAAACAATTTTTGGAGTTTCTTGATAAGATTTTTTAAATAATGTTTGACCCAATTTTGCAAATTCATTGTTTATTTGTTTATTTTAACCAGTTAGATACAAATGTGTACATTGGCACGTCAAAAGTAAATAAATAGGTATAAATGATGAATATACTGTAAAATATAAATTTCAAGCATTACGTTGAACGTCCTACACATGATATCAAGGAAAAATTACAAACATGTAATTTAGGTTTTTCGGGCTGTTGAGCCGTGGTCGGGTTGGATTTGGTCCAGAGCTTTCGGCTACATCTTCGGTAGCCACCTTCAGTGGCGCTGTCGGCGAGAGCGAAGTGCTCGGCTTGGCGGGTCGACTGAAAAAAAGTTTCAGCTCTGGACCATATTATAATATATATAATATTTTAAATACAATATTTCTTTCACAATATTCATTAAATACTTACTTTGCAATTAATGGAAAATATTAGATCTCCAATATTTAGAAAATGTTGTTCCACTGCATTTTATATTCCCATAAATACACTGGAAAGCATCTTATGTATTCAATAATACTTCATAATTAGTAAGTTCGTTTTTTTTTCAGAGGAGTGGACTTGCAAGATACAGAAGAGGCTTAGAATGTTTTTTTAATAACATTTTTCTAGCAAATTAAACCATTATATCTAGAATGAATTTTCTTCATACACCCAATTTTATATAAGCATTCCTACAGTTTTTGCTAAAATAACCAATGAAGAAGTTTCTATATAAACTGAAAATATGTATCAGATCGATGATGAAAATCCATACATATTTACGAAAAGTTTTAGATATTTCATCAAAATATAAAATTGATATTTAAAAACCTTTCCTCATATATTTTCTAAATATTTGGAAAAAATATGGCAAAAATATATGAATTATATATACTAAAAATATCTATAGTGAATATTTTATAAATATATAAGAAATATATTTATTAAATATTAAAAAATCTGTCGCTACAAATATTTAACAAATATTTTTTTTTAAATATTTAATGCTATCGGAGCGGCCCGAAAAACCTAAAGCCTTCATTCTTCAATTCCAAACATGTTAGACAAGAAAAAGGAAGGATTAGTTAAGATTAAAGAGTGAAAAGATGACATTTTTGAAGATTATGCAAAAACCGAATCATTTTTTCGAGCCGGGGTGAAGATACTACCTGGACTATAAGAGACAACTGAAGAATTTTCTGATTTGAGTGATGTTTTACTCCCAGACATGTCCACACTGAACGGCACACTTCTCGGAAACGTTGTTATAAAAGATCAATCACGCATAAAAAAATATTGCATGCAGCTTATTCGTATCACGTTGTTTATCATATCAAAATTCATATTGTATAAATCATGATAATCTATCAACTTTATATATCGTGCGACAGTACTTTCAAAATATAAATGCGATGGTATAAAAAACTTTATCTGAAGTCACTTGAAACACTGTGAAATACCGGGTGCGTATTATATATCTATATTTAACACGCTCTGTTGCTGCAAAAATCGCCAAATTTCGCAGCAAATAGTAGTATAAGATCAAAGGCAGTTTCACCGGTCCACGTGGAGTAAAGCACGCCTATGCGTGGACATAGCCAATGAGAAAGCGTGTATTTCAGAGCTCCGAACAAGTGCAGGTGGTTACTGAAAATTGAAACAGTTTAGCCAGTGCCGTGTAGCGGTGAATAAACGTGTTTTCTTTATTCTCTCCGTGTTTTTTCATAGATTTTATTAGTTTGTGTGTTTTTGACTTTTGAATACTCGGTTTACTTGTTGATTTAATTGTTGTGTTGATTGTTCTTGTGTGTCCTAAATATGGCTCTTTAGAGACCTTGGGAAAATGCTCCAAGCCACGAGGAGATGGTTGATGAACCTGTGCAGGCAGAATTCTTTCATAAAGATTTAGAGGAACAGACCCAAAGAGTAATCCTAAATATGTATGATTGTCTGAAAAACGAAAATCCAGATTCCTCGCAAAATCAAATTTTAAACAGAATTTGTATCCTGACAAAAATCAGTCGGTCTACCATTTATCGGGTTATAAAAAGGGGAGATGTAGTCAACCATTCCTTCCACAGAAAGCGCATAGGGCAAAAATTAAAAAGAATAGACGTGGGTTTTCAGGAAGATATTCGTCGTATAATATACGGATTTTATAAAGAAAATTTGGTGCCCACGTTGGAAATGATACGGGATAAATTAAAAGATTATCCTGAAGATTTTTATAATTACAAATGCTTAGACTCACTGCACTCTATTGTAAAACTGTGTGGTTTTCAATACAAAAAATTAGATAAAAGAATGGTGATTATGGAGTCGAGCAGAAAAGAAATCTGATTTAAATGGATGAAACGTGGTATGATACCCATGATGTTGTGCAGTACGGCTGGGTTGGCGACAGCAACACGTGCATTTTAAATGCACCATGCAACCGTGGAAAACGAATCATTATTCTCCATGCTGGCAGTGAAAATGGATTTATACCTAATGCCTTGCTGTTATCTGCCAAAAATATCAAAGAATCATGTGCCGACTATCATGAGGACATGACCTCCGACTTATTTGAAAAGTGGATAGAGCAGCAGTTAATACCAAACATTTCCCCAAATTCAGTGATTATTATGGACAATGCGCCATACCATTCCCGACAGAAAAACAAAATTCCGAATACAGGCACAAAAAAACAAGACATTATTGATTTTATGAAAGATAAGGGAATGGAAATACCACAAAAATCAACCAAAGCAATATTATCGGATCTTATTAAAAGACAAAAATTTGAAAAAGAGTATGTTGTTGACAATCTGCTTCAGCAAAATGGCCATGAAGTATTACGTCTACCTCCCTATTACTGCATTTTTAACCCGATTGAGTTGGTCTGGGCTGCTTTAAAAAAAAAGTAAGAAAACATAATCAGACCCCTCAATTAAGTGAATCGCTATTGGCAACAATAAGAGATGCAGTATCTCATATTGCTGCCACAGACCTATGGAAGCAGTGTTCTAGGCATATTATTGAAAAAGAAAATGAATATTGTGTTTTGCCTCCTGTAAATCCCGTTGTAATTCCTCTACAAGATGACTCTAGCGACAGCTCCGAAGGCGAGGATGATATATAAATACCTATAATGTAAGTGTTTATATACCTTTTTATATACCTACCTGCTATGTAAATATTTGCCTATGTCAAACGTTGGAATTCTGTAATTTTTCCATTTCTTAACTTTCAGTCAACATAAATTAAACTCCCAATATAAGTATTTTTTATCCAAAATAAAAAAAATAAGAAGATAGTAAAATCCATTTATTGTTATATAAAAACATTATTATTATCGTTCTAAATAAATGACCGCACGCCTATGATACGTCATGAAATTACAAAGGACGCGCCGACCAAAGGTTTTTATGCTATTTCAAGTGACTTCAGATAAAGTATACATAAAACTGGTGATATTCAATTTTTATGGCTAACATAAAGAAGCATTTATTTTCTTATTATTATAGAACAAAAAGCAACGTTACCTGTTCGGTTGTAACCGGGGATGTAGTGGGGAGACGTTTGACAATCGAACGTCATAGCCCGAAGCAACTCCAGCTAACATGGCTGCAATATTATACAATACTAACTCCACTATGCTGAACTTTGGCTTCAATCGCTGACCTGTAAGTCATGAAATCACTCAATATATCAAGCCTTTTATTCCTAGCCGCATGCCATGGTTGAAGCTATGCTTATAAATAATAATCTATAATTTTGCATTTTGTAACTTTTCTATCTTGATTCGTCTATTGAGATGAGATTGATAGAAAGTCCAGATAAAGTATTGTCAACTTTGAATGCGATTTATTGTAAGTATTTGATGATACTTACCATCAGCAGTATATAACGTAGGTATTGGAACATTCGGCCGTATCGTGCCTGGTATCAGATATTCAGGTCCCCAGTCTTCAGGTGCAGCATAATCTGTCAATTATATATACTTACATTGTTTATTGTTCTAAAAAGTCGTGTATAACTTGCAAGAACTGATACTGCTAGTTATTGTGTGTTCATATATTTATAGTGATCAATTAATTTTGACAGAAACATCAAACGCTCTGCTACCCTATCAATACTTACAGTTTTCTCGTGTTCACATATTTGAATACACAAACTGAGCAAGCCTTAAAATATACAATAGTGCTTTCTAGTTTCAGAAATCGCTACTGTATACGCTCATTTACAAAAAGAGTTGGCGATCCTACCAAATGAGTTTACTCAATACGAAATTTAAGAAACAGATCTCTCATTTGACACTTACACTTCTCCTGACACCAATTTTAATAGTTTTACTCTGAGAATTGTCTGAAATATTTGTTTCCTTAGTATTTCCTTATTATTGTTATTAAAACACTATTAGTGCCAAGTTTTAGTAAAAAAAAGATAAAAAGTTAGTTTACGTCAAAACTGAACATAAAAAAGCAGAAGAAGCATGGAGAAAGCTTGAAATTATAATTAAGCTGACATACACGCTGCTTGTGTTCTTGGTTGCGTTCGTAATCGACGTCAAAAGCCAATTACGTAATTAGATGAACCAATAAAGGCAATATGGGAACACATCAAAATTAATACTGAAATTTTTGCTGTTTCCCTGTATGGGTCCTGGCTAAAATTTTCAAAAAACAAAAGTTCCAATGCCAAAATATCACTACTCAACTTTTGACAAATTGATATCCAAACAGAGTGAAATCGAGAAAAAATTAATGTTATCATGGACTGATAGTACAAGTCAATTCCCACGCGAGAAGGTACAATGAATGAGTTGTTCAGATACCCCCAAAAAGTGTGTACTTGGCATTTTATTAAGATTTTAAAAAATCATCTTCAAGATAAAATGTTTATTTGATTAATTTTTAGTGGTTAGAGTAAAAAGCAAGGAAAGAAGGACCAGGTGCAAAAAACCCAAAAAAGGACATGCGTAGTAAATAAATTAGAAAAAAATCATAGCAAATTTTATTGAAAACAACGTTATTACATTAAAAAGGTAGAACCATCACCAAATGCTTTCTTGTCTCCGAATACGTTTCAGGAAATTAAAGCTACAACTACTGCTACTACGATTTGCACAAACAAAAAAATAAACAAAACTAGAAAAATAAAAACAATAAATATCGTGAAACGTATTCAAAGAACCATCTACAGAATTAAATAAAAAATGGCAATACAAATGTCTAGTGTAACTACAAATCAAAGGTCATAACATTCATAGTCCAACTACAACCAAGTGCAAATCACGATCAGAGACAAAAAATAGTAACATTGCTAACAACACGAATTAAAAGATCCACGATACACAAATATAATAAAAAAGCACATAATTGTATGAATCCGTCTGCAAAGATAAATGCAGACCATTTAGAAATCGTCGCCTTCCGGAGAAAATCACGTAACTCCACATTTTACCAAAAATTAGATTTTCATGCCATCTTTTAGTTCTAAAGGTAACTTCTCCGTGCACAAAATATCTAAGTCCCGAAACTATTATTTACACGTTAAAACTCGTCAACGCAATATACATATCTCCTGATACTGTTTAGTGTCCCGCGAAAAATGCGTAAGCGCCCAGTCCCTATAGGAATAGTGCGGTTTGCGTGTCAGTACTTGTCAGTCCGCACATTTTGTTATTCTTAACGTGTCTAATTAACTTTTTGGAGAGCTGTTTTTTGCAAGGTGGATGGTAAGTACTACAAATATGTTATATCAGCGTTTTAAATATTCAGCATTCGATCATAATCTTTATAAATGCAATTGTGCATGACACTGGAGATACGTAGTTTTCCATAACCTTCCATATTTCTCTACAGATGTCATTTTAGGGAGATACATAGTTTGCGTACAATCCACTAGAATAAGTTCATAGATTATCATTTTGTTTTCTAATATTTGTTTTTTATCAAACCACAATAGCTGTCTAAAATAGTTTACTGACATTTCGGCTGCCGCATAATGAATTATATGAATTAAAGAAATCAAGAAACCAGGTAAATAGATTGATGAAAAATGATCCATAGTCATGTCTTAATTCAAATGTGTTTTTATAAAGGCAGCCGTGGAGGGTTTTTATATTTCAAATTAATTTTAAATCGTCATTCTATTATTAGAAAAAGGATGTGGAAGCCTCACTAAAGTCCTTACCACCTATGGTTTTGATTGTTGCCCAGAAAAATCAAGATAGATTAACCACGTCTTTTATGAGGTTAAAAATCCTTATTCCCAACATTGTGATTATCTTTTGTCCACAGATCATTCAGAATGTCTAACAGAGCCAGGAAAATATTAGATATGGCAAGAGGTTGGAGATAACGGAATATGTAATCTGATCAGCTGTGCAGAAAATAGTATTGTGGAACCAGGCTTTGCCACCCTCGAGGATGTAGTTTACCCCCCACCAACACATGATCTGTTTGATTCAGCTATACAGGAATTTCACCAATTGGTACCAGCACTAATTGACGGCATAGGACAGTCTGGCAGCACACAATGTGACACATTACAGTCCAACGAAGAAGTTAATTTGGTTGAAGGGGAAAATGAGAACGCTGCATATGACACGTCGCCATCAAATGAAAATAGAGTTGATTTGATGGAAGAAGAAAAAGAGAACGCAGCATATGGAATGGAAGAACAAACAGAAGAGTTGTTCCAGAGAAAAAGGGCTAAGCGGCATAATCTTGACCAATCAATGTGATTAAAAATTAGAAATCAAGCGAACCGCGAAAAGGGCTTAGCATATAAAGGCAAAATGAAGGTTGGTGGAAAATGGAAATATGACATTCCTCGAAACAAGAAAATGTTATCTAATGTTTGCGACTGTAAGATAACAACTAAATCTAGTAAAATAGAGTGTAGAAAATTGACTCAGGAAAACCGAGAATATATATTCAATATATTTTGGAACCACATGAATTGGCAAGAGAGAAAAAATTATATCCAGAGTTTGGTGAAAATTGAAAATGTAAAAAGAAGAAGGGGAGCCAATGAAAATAGTCGAAGAAACTATTCACTAAAGTACTACCTTAAAGTCGAGAACTAAGAATTAAGAGTCTGCAAGAAAATGTTCCTAAATACTATGAGCATGAAGGAATCTACAGTATTAAACTGGACGAAAAGTGACAAATTGGAAGAAAATGAAAAGAGACTAAATGACAAAAGAAAACAGAGTAGGAGTAAAATGTATGGAGGAAGATACGAGGCACTAAACCAGTTTTTCGATTCATTACCGAAAGTCGAATCACACTATTGCCGAGCATCAAGCAGCAAACTGTATTTGGAACCGATGTGGGCTTCAACAAATCAGTTGTATGGCTTTTACAAACGTCATCATTGCCCTGACAGCGGTGATGAACCCGTATCACGAACGATCTTTTTCAAAGAGTTCAATAAACGAAATCTCTCTATATATGTTCCCAAAAAGGACCTGTGTGACACCTGTGTTGCATACGATGCAAAAAATCTTCCAGAGGAAGAATACGATTTACATCAGGTAATAAAAAAAGAAGCTAGAGAAGAAGTCATCTGCTTCAGTCTTTACGATGGATTTGCAAGCAGTTCTCCTATGTCCAAAATCGACGGTCAGCGCAATGTATTATAAGACTAAGTTGATCGTGCACAATTTTCCATTGTATAACTTAAAAACCCAAGACGGATACTGTTTTTTATGGAACGAGACGGAAGGTGGCCTTACGTCAAACGAATTCTCATCTATATTGGCTGACTTTATAGAGAACACTATAATTCCTTCACTACAAGAAGAGCAAAAAGAAATAATCCTATATAGTGACGGCTGTACAGGGCAGAATCGAAACTCTATCCTGGCGAATACTTTGGTTAACATCGCAATGCTCCATAAGATCACCATCATCCAAAAATATCTCGAAAAAGGGCATACGCAAATGGAAGTCGACTCAATGCACTCTTGCATTGAGAAGAAGATTCGGAACCGTAAAATCAATATACCTGCTGATTATGTGCATGCCTGTGTGATTGCGAGACAAAATCCAAAGCCTTACAATGTAAGATACATTAGATTAAGCTTCTTTAAGAAATTCGATACTCTTAATTACTACAAATCCATTCGACCCGGTAGAGATACAGTAGTTAAAATACGTGCTTTAAAGTATGACCCATCTGGAAAGATCTACTACAAATTGAGGCACACTGACCCCTGGGATCAACTAAATCAGAGAGTTAAGCTGTCACCACCGAGACCAACACAGAGCTTACCAACCATGTATCAAGAAAGAAGGAAGAAAAAAAATTAAAAATATGATCATCTCCAAATTTTGAAGAAAACTCTACTTCAAGATTACCATACCTTCTATGATAATCTTCCCTACGAGGAAAATTAATTTTTCACTATAAACTATGTTCTATGTAAATACATAATATAATACCTAAGTTTAGGTTTTTCTGGAAAAATACGTATATCCCCTACCATAAGGACAAAAATTGCGTAACTCCTTAAAGAAACATAGTTTTATACTTAGCACATTTTTTTTGTTTTCATCGATGTGTGGCAGTTTTTCCAAGAATTAGTATAAATTTCGATAAATTATTACATAAACTCAATCTACAGGAAAGTTTTTTGTCTCCCCTGAAAAATTTGCCTTTGGGGAGATAAGTGATTTTCTCCGGAAGGCGACGAAATGCTATTGGGAATAGATTTTCAAAAATTTTTTATTGCATACGGATTTTTCTTCTTAACATTATATCGCACGCCATTTGCACCATTAGGAATATAAAGCTTCAATAAATCCACCTCTAACTAGCCATGACAGTATATGAGGAATTTCTATATCACAATGTATTGATCCATTTGATATCTACAGTCACCATCAGGTCAACCAGTGTGCTAGTGTATTAAGGCCATTATTGTTACAATATCAGCCTTCGTTAATCTACATGAGCCATACAGTTACTTTAGAAGTATTAAATCAAGTTAGCATATTTTCTACCCAATACTGAAGCTTTTATTTGTATTTGTCAGCGGGATGTGATAACTATCAATAATAGTGCCATCCTGAGTTGAAAAAATAATAATAAAAGCAATACAAACCTCTAAACCTCTGTTATATGACATATTTTGTATACGGAAATGAAATTACTGCCTCAAGTATTTGTGTTGCAAACCTCATATACAGATGATAATTAGATATCACTCAATCAAAATACTGTGATCGAAATTTTGTAAAGTGAATCTACTGAAACATTCCTGTTTCTAACAACCTTCAAACATCAAAAAAAATCAAGCTAGCAAAACAATTTCCGATAAAATCGCCTAGACATGCTACTTGTGCTTAAAAACTAACAAAACAAAGATAAAAATGGGAAATGACACTGATGTATTGGTGGCACGACATACAGGCTATGTCAAGTTATGTACCAACAGCTAAGTTTAATTTTTCTTTTGGTACTTGTACAACGTGTCAACTTGTCAAATTCTGTTAGCAAGATAGTGGCAATTTATTACATAATATTGTTACTTAAATTACTTTCACTTGGCAACGTCGGCTCGAGCAATGGAGGGGCTACTATCGGTGGTTAGCTACGTCATAAGTGACACCCAGACTTGACAGCTTGAGGAACTTTGGATGTATAACCATTGATTAACGTATTCTACCTGAATATAGCCATCCTAATCCTATATTCGCACGTGTATGCGAGATGAAATGAGGTACCGTAGCATCATCTATGAGAATTTGTCACACCTATGTTTCTCTTCTCCGCAGTAATTATAAGTTTACTTTGAAAAGAGCCATAGGTGGCGCTGTAGCTGAATGCCACAATATCAACTCTGCGTTCATTGCCATAATACATAGTTCAAATTAACAAGAAACCATTCACGATAAAGCAAAGGTTAGGCTGTCTCATATGACAGCAAGCTGAAGACTAAAAATGCGTCTTTTTATTAACCACCATTCAACGGAACCGGTTGCTGTCGTCATCACATCAGCAGTCAACCATAAGATCACCGGATCCATCAGTGATGGAATCAACCGGTGAATTAAAGAATATACCTATATGTATAGTTGGCTTCAGCCCCATCTGTGAGACACTAACCTTTTCAAAATAGATCTGATTATTGCGGAGAGGAGAAACATAGCTGTGACAAATTTTATCATAGATGACGCTACGGTATCATTTCATCTCTGATAATTTTGATTAGGTTAACTATCTTGAGGTATATGTTACAACAACCTAATTTAACTTAACCAGAATTATTCCAGTGGTTTCAAATAAAACTTTGTATTCGTGGACATTGTTTTAAACACACAGGAAAATAAAACAAACTGATCAACGCCAATGAAAATGCACGGAACTTTATCACCTAGGAGCTACGTGATGTCACATGGACGTTACCTATTACCAATTCATTTACCATTCATGTGGTCGACAGCGCGCATGTGTTCGAGCATTTTATGAGAACTGTCAGTCATACAACATAGTAGTAGTAGTGGTGATGCGAAGCCAGGCAAGTAGATCAACTCTGCCCCTTTTTGCCGACCCCGAGTGTAGCAACACTCCACTCCCCATGTTAATTCACTGACCTGTAGAACCTTCCTGACCTCCTGATAAAGGTCAGGATGTCCGACCATTCCGCTAAGTAGGCAACTTCACCATCAAATTCCTTAGCACTTAGTCTGCACACACGGGGCAATAGCCCAGAAAGTAGATCGCTGCTCCGTAGTACATTTCCGAACTAAGGGTGACCTTGTCCTCGGGGATGCCATTGCCTTCAGGGCTGCTTAACATTAAGATAGCAAAATCTTTGCCTGGAAGATCGGCGTGCAGGTTCCAAGCGAAAAGTTTCCCTGCACTCCTTTGCCTTCCAAGTTTACTCACGCCCCACTGGATCCTATTTCCTGGAATAAGGATCTGTTAGTGTAGCACACGAGACCTGGGGCGGGAGTGTTATATCTCCATTCACGCATTCTTCTTTCGAAAAGATGATGAGTGAGAATTCTAAGTATGATCTTTATGGTGTTTGTGGCCCCTTCAACTTTTACCGAAGATATGGGGAGATTACTCTCCCACCCACGTGCCCTGATCGCGCATCATGCCGACATGGCCTCCCGCTTTATACAGACGTCCAGTGGCGGCACTCCCAGGATGGCATCAAGGGGTTGCTCTCATCGTGCCACTTATCCCCAGCGCCAAAAGTATTTGGATCTCGGATGGTCTTTTCAATAGATGGCCACCAGAACACGTACCCATACTGTACCCTAATTCATACCACTGTGTGAAGCAAATGCTGGACTTCGGTCTTAATCCTCAAGTTCTACCGACTGCCCCACGCAACTGCCACATGGTCGCTATCGACTTTTTGTAGTTATAGTGGACATGCTATATTTTACTTCTTGACTGAGATTTAGTGGTACAGAGAGTCGGTAGATTGAAATCTTCTATCTTCCATCTCTTGGGGTAGAGGACTAGCTCAGCCTGGGATGGATTGACTGAGAGCCCTGTCTTTACACAACATTTTTCTAAAATATCGCAGGCTCACTGCATTCTCTCGCAGACGACGCCTAAGAACCTGCCTGAAACAAGGTCAAGGCTGTCGTCAAGCCGGACATGCCCAAAGGCTGCACTGAAGTTGCGGCTTCTAAGTGCCGACCTGACTCAACAGCATGGAGGACGGAGCTCCTTTCGTCTGAGGGCCTTATCAAAGGCATTCTGCACGTTAAAGAATACTTCTAGAGCGACTTCTTTTTGGGTGCTAGAGAGTAGTCGGTTTTTCCACGCTTTGGAGTAAGGACTACTCTCGCTGCTCTCTATGACATGGTCACGTACCCCAGAGCTATGGAGGCTCTCAGGGTCTGTCTGTAATCTGCCACATACCCTTCATAAGGAAGGTTGTAAGATTGATTGTTTGAAAGATTTTGTTAGATAGTAGTCGGTTTTTGCCGGCTTCGGACTACTCGCGCCTCTCTACGTGACTTGGGCACGTATCCCAGCAGTATGGAGGGTCTCAGTAACACTGTCAGGTATTGCAGCAGCAACCGCAGCCGGCACGGTATCTTGAAAAGTTTTTTGTGAAAACGTAGGTTTATCTGCAAAATATTAACTTATCACAAGCTGTTGTACACTTTTTGTGAACTCGTTCTGTAGCTGTAGGTATTGCTTAAACGTCAGCGAACAGCAATCATAGCGAGCAAACGTGGAATGAACTATTTGCACGCTAAAGACTATCTAGTCTGCAAGATGACAGTTCGCCTGTTTTTTTTTTGACGTTTTTAGTTTTTTTACATAATACCCCTGCCCCTCTGTAACAGCGCCGTGAGGTCATCAAATCCGGCGGACTTTGTGGACTAAACTCGTTCACAGACCTGGAACACCAACCCTTCAGTAATACGTAGTTACATGCTTTGTTGGGACTGGTATAAAAGGCAGTGTCCCAATGTTAATTTGATCATTATATGGATACAGCAGTCTGAAAAGACTATGTTTATGTTTAAATCACGCGACAAAGCGCGGCAAGGAACATTTCGAATAACCCTGAACATATCACCCGTCAGGTGGGACTGTTAGCCCGACAAAGATGAAAGAACATTCCGGAAAACTGCGATCGAGATTATGAGTTTCTCATTCGCG